GAAAATTCTGAAACTTTGTGGATGAACTACCCTAGCCGAGGCCTTGATATGGGCAAAGTCTCACCTCAAAATTCAAAACTTTGATTTCATGGGAAAGATGGGGTCCCATAGGCAAATTCTAGTAAAAAGTCGATATCTCAGTCAAATCTCAACTTGGGCGCGAACTAACTTAGGGTGTATCACTGCTAGCTATGCCCTATCTAGTTATCACATCCCCGGTTGAAAAGCTTTTTAGCACCTGAAAATGTTCCCTCGTGAGTCGATGAATAAATTTAACAAATAAATTTGCATATCAATACGTTAAAGAGAGGCGTCGATAAAGCTTTTCAAACTTTCATGAATGATTTCTTGGAAGTTTCATTTATGGTTTGGACAAGAAATAACCTTAATTACACTGATAAAAGTTTTATCTTGGATTATATGAAAGAATATTTTGTTCTTTTTTCAATTATAAATCTTTGCGTTGTTGCTCATACTTAAGTGTTTTGTGCACCTTCATCTTTGTAGCTTACTTCGAACTATGAGATAACCCAATATTGTATCGAATTGTACAGGACAGTCTCGCAGTCTCTGCTTTCAGACTTTTACCAATCATTGAATGACCAACAACGTAAGTTATTTTCAGAAATGACAAAAAAAACAAATGTCACATCCATGATGTATACTATTTCAGTTGATTTTTTTCATTACTTTTAAGTATAGAAAAATGAAAATGAATAATGCTTTTAGATTAAATTTCATTGTCAAACAAATATAACTGTAATTCAATAATAACTGAGCAACAGTGAATCATCTACACAGAAGATATAGGAAAGCAGAAAGTATGTTTCGTTTTTTATTGAGTATATGAATATATTTATTTATTTATTTTTTTGAATAGCAAAAATTTGATAAAAGATAAGAATAATGGAAGAATCATTGGAAAAGTGAACGTTAATCTAATAAGATCCAGAAGAAAAAGTCAATATATTCACTAGTCAGATTATTCGATCACATCGTTAATTTCTTTCAAAGATGATCTGTTATTATATCCGTACCAAATTCTTGCTTCCAAATATCACTCGTTTTAACAGATGATTTCTGCATATTATCATCTTTAATTGTTGACCACAGATTATGAAAAATAACATAGCCAACAAGACGAACACAATCAGCTGCATAATTCAATGGTTCTTGCATATGTGCGTGCCACATGATCTCAATCTGAAACAAAGGATCCAATTCATCAAAATAATAGATGATATTTTGTTTTGTGTAACAACAACTATTTTTACCGCATATGTTGGAAATATAGAACCATCACTATCTTTGAGTGGATATTTAGCTGCTATGTATAGAAATCGTTCATAGGATTTTTTTAATCTTTCCATTTTTCCTGGTTGAAGATCAATTTGTTTCGATCGAGCCCAAAAATTAAATGGAACAGAAGTTTTTTTTTGTGCATCTACCATAAATATTTTACACATATCAAGCCAATTCATATCGACGATCATGTCACCTTCTGTAAATGAAAATGGATTTTCATAATCTTTCGGTGGTTCCAATAACAACTCGAAATTTGTTTTATCCCAATAAGTATAATACGTTTTGTCATGAAGATATGTATCGACAGCATTACAAGAAGCATTTGATGCAGTTTGTTTTCTCCTAACGAACGATGGTAATAAACAATAGTTTTCACCGAATTTTTGTTCATATAATTGACAAGTATCTCGAAATGCTTGTTCTTTGTAAAATTTTTCAATATCATTAGTTAATAATTTATGATCAATAATTCGATGAAATAAACGAATACAATCAGCTTGATAGATTTCTGGTCGAAGTAAATGAGTTTGCCAAATAATTTCAATATCTAATGTAGGAACTAATAGAAGATCTGTTGGATGAGATGCTTTTAATTGCATGAAACGATAATATCTTATTATCATCTGTTTTAAAATAGTTGATTGTTGCCATTGTTCTCGAAATTTCAATGCTTTTTCTCTTAGCTTTATAAGTTCACGAGCTGTAGCATCAATGTTGACTGATAGTTCAATTGTCCTAAAACAAAAACAAAATATCATTATCAGATAATTAGAACTATTTTTTTTCTTTGTTAGAATCTATGTATAATCAAAATTAATGTTTCGAGCTACTTAACACATTCTAATATAAAAATTAATTAGCAGCATAAAGTAAACTTTAGTAATACGTTATCTATTATTTTTTTACGTATCTTGTGCATTAATCATCGTTGTATTCTCTGTGATGATTTGTGGCATGAAAATCTTCACAAAACCTAGTTGAACGTATTATATATGTCAAGTATTACAAATTCATTGTTTAGATGTTTCAACAAGATATATAAATCAAAAAAAGAAACCTTTATCTTACATAATGAATGATGTCTTCGGATGCTTATTGAATCCACCAGTGGGTGCAAGTTTACGTTTTTCCATCGTACGTCGTCGATTCATCTTGCATAAAAATTTTACATATATCGAATCCATATAAATTTGTTTGTATGATTTAAAATATAGTTTTATTAATGCTAATCAATATTTTTCAATATTAATATATACATAGAATTAAAGATAATAGAGAAACAGTACTTACTATTGCATTTTAATTTCCATATTTCATCTTGATCGGCAATCATTTTGAATAATCGACAAACCAATGAAACGTTGCACAGATCTCTTACAGATAATAATTGAAATATACATAATAGAATTTCATTCGGAATGGCAACAAATGATGATTCTAAAACAGCATTTTGTATTTCACTAAAGGTCCATACATGTAGCCAAGTAACATTCGGTGGATTAGGCAGTGACATTTCTAATTCAACAGAACCAACACGAATCACTCTTCGAGCACTATTCATTAAATTATTCATAGAATGATCTAGAAAATAATAATAATAACCTTCAATATTAAAACCATTCGATGAAAAGTAAAAGACACAAAGAATATGCGGAAAAAACTGACAAGCAAGAAATTTGATGTTTTTTTAAATTCTTCGAATGTATTACTCATAGAAAGGTGTGAGTAAGAGATGAGATCAACTTGACGATGGGGGCAACAATGAGCTTTTTCCTTCATGACAATGCCTCTAGATCTAAAATTATCACTATTTGTAGTTTGTGTTAAAATAAAAAATTTTCTGTTCATAAGATAGAAATTTTTTTCTTTATTATGCTAGTGGATATAATACTAGGAATTGGTTACATGATAGATGAACGAAATAGATATATTCAAGTCAGCTCATGAATCTGTAATGGGAAAGGTTTCACGGTAAGTACAATTAAGAGAAGAAAAAGGAAATGTATGGATAAGTAGCAGAAAGGAAGAAAATGTATTAAAGGAATTAGTTAGTCAAATCCTGTCGATTTCTTAGGATTTAGAGTCTTGATTAAACGCGTAATATCAGTAGCATTAATTTTTTTCTATTCGATTTTCCTAAGTAATTTGAATTGTTCACTGTACTAATGATATAAATGATTAAGGGTTTCTTACTTTGTCGCAAGTATTTTTGTTCTATCCGATAACTTGTAAAAAGATAGTGTACATGATTCGTAAATGCGAATTAAAAATGTCCAAAACGTTTTGTCTAATTTAGCATGCGTCGTTTAGACGTTCAATAGAGGATTTTGTCATGGAGCAACTTGATATTTAGTGATGTGAAATTTTGAGTCTTTAATCAAAGCGCCTAATACTACCCTTGTTTCCTCGCATATAAGTCGTTTGTGTCCAAAATTTTCATATTTCTTTTAACCTCCTCACAATATAAACAGATAGTGATGATTACTGCTCATCTTTCTCTCTTTCAATGCATCGCTTTGTTCTAGACAGAAGCGATAAAGCAAATATATCATTTATATTACTTATCTGCACTATTTTTCTTTTGTTCGTCTTTCCAGAATATTCAAAGTAACATTGATACGGCATCAAACGTCTTCCAATTTGTAAGAGAAAAAATAAAACTATTGGTCTCAAAAGAAATATCTCACATGAAACCACCATTCGCCAATAATCGCTACTGCCAAAATAGAATGTTTCACTTAAAATAGTAGTTATATTTGACGATTAAAAGAATCTATGTTACATAGGGAAGATTACGATGTGTCGGAAGTCAATGGTATGTAATTGAGGTTGCTCTCTTCAATCCATTCTTTCACCAAACATTGATGCGCGTTGCTTTCAAATGCTTTCACACTTCTATACATACTTCTCCAGTTTGGTTGATATTCTTTTGGTAGAACATGTTAAAAGATGGTCATTGACATGTGTTTCATAACTCTCCTAATTCTATAAAAATTCAAATAGAAGCTTGAACTTTATGCACTAAATCAGTCACATCACGTATACACGTGCCTTATTCTTCGACATTATAATAAAAAAGATCTTTAAATATTCTTTTTAATTGGTGGAAGAATTTATTCCGATACTTTGTTAGTGTCGTAAAACTGTATTCAAGGTTCTACTTGTGTACCACTCGTCTGAAAGAAAAAAATACTATCTTTTGATTTTTTTTTGTTAAAAGCATCCATGCTCTTTGTTGGTACATTGCTTGTTCTCTAGAACTTCACCATGATTTCACAGAAAGAGAAAGAAAAATAGACTTAAATGTGGACATTGAGATTAGAAATTTTATTGAATATTTTGTGATGATCGATTATGTTTATTCAATCAATTCGTCATTCTTGATGTCGATTCAGCAGCGATTGCAGATTAAAAGAGTAAATATTGATCTGTCTGAGAGATGTTACGATTGATAGCAGCTAGAGTAAATGAAACTTTAAATATTTCAAGCACTACTTATTAAATATTCATAGCTATGTTAATATCACTTGGCAACTTAATTACTGTGATTTTCATATGTCGTTGTCTGAGTATGGAAGAAGAAAAGACTCACAGCCACATCGACACGCACAATCGCATTCACATTCAGCTCGGAGCTGGGGCATGAATGATGCGACGGCACTTTATAAAATATGTTCTGTAATATACACCCCTGGGCAAAAGTCTTTCCCCCCACCTCTTTTTTCGGCTAGGTTTTCTCTGCTATTATAAGGACAAAACATGGTGTTGTTCGGGCTATATAAAAGAGAACCCTAATAATCCCTAATCGGCCCGAACAACACCATGTTTTGTCCTTATAATAGTAGAAAAAGCCTCGCTGAAAAAAAGAGGTGGGGGGAAAGACTTTTGCCCAGGGGTGTATCTGCAGAATTTTAATTGTTTTCGTTTACTTAAACTTTACGGTATCATTGTCGATTAGCTATCCGTATCCTTAGAAATGTTGACAAACAATTTGGAATTCTTTTTATTTAGTTAACTAACCTCGATTTGAACTAGGCATAAAAAATACTTGTTTAAAATATATCGATTCAAAAGTCTTGCCACTACTTTTAGTAGAGGTTCGCATTATACATCAAGATATTGTATACATCCGAAATTGTTGATTGTTGTTCGTTGTGGGCGCGTACTGACTGGTCAAGTTATGAACTTTTCTCCATGTTCATGACAAAAGAAGTAATACGCATAGCTCTACATCTAATCATAAAACATTATTCTACTCAGCTTTTTCAAAGATTTCAAAACAAAAATTGAAATAAATATTTGGTAATTTCTCTAGAAAACATAAATTCAACGAAAAAATGATGATTTTTAATCATTGAACTTTTTTAACGTTTTTCTCTATCAAATATTGATCGAATCGAAATAAAAAAAAATATATTCGTGATCAGCTTTTCTCGCTCCATCAGACCATATATAAATGAATGAAAAAAAAAGATTTTGCATTTTCGTGACGTTACAAAAGAAGAGCTTTTTAATCTTGCATATAGTATTTGGAATATCTGTTTATTTTCTTACTTAATGAGAAAAATCCAATTTTTCTTTCAGTCGATATTACTCATATTCGACGATGTAACATACAAATTTCAGTATATTTTGCTTTTTCTTTTCATCACAGTAGTTTGTTGTCATTACTCAATGACTACATGATATTATGAAAACAAGATTTCCTGTTATTCTTTGAAAAAGTCCGGCATGACTAACCTTATTATTTAGATTTAGTCTGAATAATGATCGAAATAGAGAATTATTCGGTACTTGCTTTTTTGAATTCTACTAAAGACTGTATTTTGAATAAGAGATCCAAATAAAACTTTTAGTCTAATCATACGAATTGTCTTCTTTCTTATTGAACAAATGAGAAATTCTGATTGAAATTTGAAAGAAAAATAGAGAGAATGTTTTTTTCAAATGATTCGTACAATTTTTATTGCTCTTTTTCTTTTCTATTTTGCATCAAATTCTGTCCTTTGAGTGTTCGCTTCGTCTAAATGATGCGCTATCGCATAGGCATGTGCATGTGATTGGTGTGCCGATATATACGTGGCGGCTCGCTGCTCTTCTTGTTTCCTCTTCTTCTCTCTATTGTTCTTTCCGTCTCGTCTCTCTCCCTTTGTTTCTCTATCATATATAAGCTTGTGTTGCATGTGAAGTAGCTAATGGTTTCATAATTCACGTATAAAAATGATTGTATAATTTCATTTCCTCCTTAGTAAAGTATTATAAGAATTTTAGATTCAATTTCTTTATGGAACAAATCAAACGGCCATTAAGTAATATTTTCAAGTTTGATCATCAAAACAAGAGAAAAAAAATACAAAGTAAAACTATCTGTAACTTATTTTTGTTTTAAATGAAAATTTCTTTTCTCTAGTAACAACAGCTGAAGCAAACAGGAATGTCAAAAAGTAAGAGATTTGGGTGTGGGGGTGGGGTGTGGGGGTGGGAGTGGGGTGTGGGTGTGGGTGTCGATCAGATTTATGTCAACAACTATACCGGCACTCACACCCACACCCACCCACCCACACCCACACCCGCCCACACCCGCCCACACCCACAACCCACCCACCCACACCCACCCACACCCACACCCTCGTCTTACCATTCATTCACTAGAAGGACCTTATCATAAACAAATACAAATATATCCTTTTGTGTTAAATCATTTGACACATGTTTCTCTTACACTGAAAAACATTAATTTTCATGAATTTAGACAATTCATCATAGATTTTTTGTGTTACAATTTATGTTTTACGCATTACGATAAAACATTTTATAGATTCAGCATACATGGATAATAAGAAAGGGGAAGAGCTGATATTATCATATATACCCAATTTACGTATATTTGACATTCAACATGAAACTTGTTCCAATTCTATTCATTCCTCTAGGAATAATTTCCTTTTTAATCAATCAGTACCAAATCTTCAGATCAATAAGTTTACATCTACATTTTGAATCGAACGGCGTTGATTTTTTGCCCAACAACATTATCAGTCAAAATGTAAAAATCGTACAATTTTCTACTCAACGGATCCATATAGATGACTATACTCGTGATTTTTAATTACATTATGTATATTATTTTTACTTTTCAGAAGAAATACTCACACATTATGTGGACAATCCGAAGAAAAAAACTTGTTTAAATACTCGTGATAATAATTTGAAGTCCGTTCGTCATGTTCATATTCAAAATCAAAAAGCAGTGATCAATTGCAATTAGTATTTTCCAAATGTTATTGAATTGACTATCGACGATGACTTCACTAAAACTTGTGATTCGTTTTCAACTATTCTTAGAAATATTATTCCATTAAAACAAGTCACTAAACTAATCATCGAATGTAGTCAGTTTTCTTTTATAGAAATAATCGAACTATTATGTTTTATGCCAAATATCCATACATTAATGTTCTTATCAATGCCAAAGTTTAAACGCAACTATCATATCATTAAACAAAGTGACAAGTTTCGATTCTTCTCCAATATCAATACTATAACAGATATGATCATTATAGGATCATTTAA